AAAAAAAAAAAAAAAAAAAAAAAAAAAAATCACTACAAATCAATGAACATTTGACAAGAGATGAGCTTTAAAGAGTAACTCCACTTTTGTTGAGAGAAAAAAAAAAATCAATGTACATTGCAAAGATTTTAACTGTGTTGCAGATTCCTACCAGTTTCTGTTCTGAAGAAAACGCTGTTTGTTGCAGCATGTCCTTTTAAAACGGGTTACTGAAATGGAGGGTCTGAGTTCATTATAATGAGCTGCTAGACTATGTTCTAATGAGGAAAGGTGCTGTGTCTGCATTCCTTTAGTAGCAATTAACCCTTACAGAGTATCTCACCATTGGCACCAAAAATGGAATTCCTATTGGAAAAATGTTACTGGTATCTTAGTGCAGACTTCTGTGATTAGCTGACTGATTTTCACAGAAGCAGGAAGTTACATTTCTGGGGGTGTTCCGTACACCAACCATGTGCATTATTTTTGACAGATTTAGAACATTACAGCGACTACAGTTTTAGATGGAAAGGTCATATTTAATAACATTAAATTACCAATTGGCTGGTTTGACAATTATATATGCTATATTATGTTTTTTTTTTTAAAGTGGAGTTATCCTTTAAACATATTTTCAGTCTCTTCCTTTAAGACTTGCAGTGCGAGATAGAATAGTAAAATACAACCAGTGAGTGGAGTTGGACTAAAGTATGTAATGAGCAAATATGGCCCCATTCTCCTAATATCATGTTAAAAAAATATATACCGTATTTGCCGACGTATAAGACGACTGGGTGTATAAGACGACCCCCTAATTTTCCACTTAAAACATAGGTTTTGGGCTATACTCGTCATATAAGACTACCCCACTGAAGAGGCTAAACATTTAAAAACATCATGGATGGATGTGCGGTAATACTGTATGTACGGTAGCTTCGGCTACATACAGTATACCGCGCTGAGCCAATCACGGCGAGCGATGTATTCTATGAATATAAAGCCTGCTTGGATTGGCAGAGGTTGTGTACATCGCTCGCCGTGATTGGCTCAGCGCGGTATACTGTATGTAGCCGAAGCTACCGTACATACAGTATTACCGCACATCTAGCGGGCTGACAGATTAGGGATGTTAACACTGAAAATACTTTACATTCCCTCTAAAAACACAATCTACAATCATCTGGAATGCAAGGAGAATTGATTTCATTTTGCAAAGTGAGACATTTATTAACAGGCAAAGTAGCTGCAGGATAGGGCTGCAGCTAACTATTATTTTCATAATCGATTAGTTGGCCGATTATTAAGTTCGATTAATCAGTTAAATCGGATTTTAAAAAAAGAAAGGCTCCAGTGATTGACGACTAGTTTGTGTTAAGATTGTAGTCCATCACGGGAGCAAGCTTGGCGCGGTGGAAGTAAAAAAAAAGTGTGGTGTACATTATACAGCGGCACAGTGCAGAATACCAGCACCTATAGAGGAATGTAGCAATAGTATAACTGTTGCAGCTCTACTGCAGGATGATTAGATTTAGAAAAACTTGACAAGAACACTTTGATCTAGGGAGGCAATGCTTGCACACCCTCAGCTCCAAAAAGTTTCTCCATTTAAAAATTTAGGGAGAGTTAATTATTCTATATTAGGGTATGTGTGTCTAAAAAGGCAGTTTTTCATACTTACAATTCTGTGACATCCTCTAGTACCATATCTGGAATGCAGAGTAAAGGACGATGGCAGAAAAACTTTGTATGACAAAACAATGACAGGTAAATTTAGTTGGTATCACTCTTCAATGTAGACACCAAGCAGTAGTGGCATATCTACTGCCATTATATTGCAGTGGATGCAGTGGATAGGGATTGTTTAACCGTATTCCTATATTGCACAAAGTAAAAAGTAATGAAGCGTCACTTCTCAATGGAAAATTCTCTTAGGCATACTGAAGGATGCTGCCCCAAAGAAAGCCCGGAAAGCTATAGATCTATAAAGTAAACACAAAGGGCCTTTCCTGGTGCAGATCAATTTTATTTCGGTAAACATAAAGTAAAAGCAGGAAGGTACTCACAAAGGATGAGTGTCACACAGTCATGAAAAGTACGCCGACAAGCAGTAAGCATCCACTGGACGCTTCCTGTGTGCTGGTGACGTTACCAGCACACAGGAATCGTCCAGTGGATGCTTACTGCTTGTCAGCTTACTTTTCATGACTGTGCGACAGTTATGTTTACCGAAATAAAATTGCTATATGGCACAAACTTTTATCCTTTTTCTATCAATACTTAACTGTAAGGCAGGGCTGGGCAGATCCAAGGAGCCCGGTAGCCAATGCTCCTAAAATTGTGGCTGGTGCCCAACTTTTATGGTTCTCTCTAGTTGTCAATGGAGCCGGCTCCTAAAGAATTCTCCAGGCTCCAAGACTGGACAGATTGGCTACCGAATTCCATATTAAATTTGTCTTCCTCTGCTGTAAGGCCAGATTCACATTTATGCATTGCCAAAACCGGTGTTTTAAGGGGACACCCACCTGACAGCAAACTGCCATCAATACTGTATTAAATATAGCCAAATAACCATGTTTAATTACAATTTCATGCCTCCTTGTTTTCTCTGTAGGAAGATGCAAATAATTCCTCTTCCCCTCCCCATCTAATCCTACACCTCTATTTGAATAGAATATGTCATCTGTGTCCGTCTTCTTTGTTTCAACCATTTTCAACATTTTGTGAACTATGGCAATTTACAGATGAGATCTCTGTTGAAGGCATAATTGATGTAGCCTTCCCAGGGGCAGATGTGAGGGCCTGGGCTACGTCACCAGTGCCTCACTAGAAAAGGAATTGGGATTCCTGTAAATGTAAACAGATTAAGTCTTTGATGTAACAAATGACTTGTAGGTGATTTTAGATCAGCCTGCACAATGAATTTTAGTGTTGGGTGGAAAGGTCAACTTTTTTGCATGTTACCCCAAACGCACAGTAACTCACTGTATGTACCGAATACTCAGAGTTGTCAGAGTAGAGTAGCATGAGGGTTTAGCCTAAAAAATTAAATACTGAAAGAATGCTATAGGGCACAAAATAAAAAAAGGGTAAAGTTAAAAAATCATGTAAAAATAATGCCAAAAACTGTTGCTTTGCAGTTGCCAGATTTTACTTTTCACTCTCTTAAAGCTTACACTTAAAGTGACACTAAACTCAGGAGTTAAATCTGCATTCACGTACCATAACTATTAACAAAAATTAATTTTACTTGTGTCACTTGGCTGTAGATCCTCGGAAAAGAGCGAGAAGGAAAGTGTCAGCACAAATTCAGAGATGATTTAAGGATCTACAGCTGAGTGATACACAAACAAGATACATTTTTGTTAGTAGTGAAGGTACTTGAATACATTTTTAAGATTTAACTCCTGAGTTTAGTGTCACTTTAAATCCTCTAGGTATATGAGAATATTGCAGAAACTAAGTCCTGTATTAATTTTAAAAGGCTTCAAAAAGCACCCATGAGAGTACAGCAGATAAACAAAACGACGCTCAGACCCATATTTAAAAGCATGAAATACCTACATGAAAAGTTGAAAGAGACCCTGCCCCTATACAAAACATTCCTGTGAAAGCTTCCCAGAAATCTGCAGGGAAACAGGCCATCCCAGAAGTGTTATTTTCGTGGATCCCTTGCAGCTATCACTGGTTTCTCCTACTGACCTTCCCATTGCATCTTGTAATTCGTGGCGTTAAGAACTTTGAGATTGCTCCTCAGAAGTGTTGGTTTTCCAGTGGACTTTCACAGCATAGGAGTGGAGGTCCAGCATTGTAGGCAATAGGAGAGGTAATTATTTACCATTTTCTTTTTACAGGTATATTTTTGCTGGGTATGTTATGTAGAGCAACAGGATTTCTGAGGAGTATGCACTTCAACTATTAACAGACAAGATGTGTCATGTCATCGGTCTGAGTTCAGAATACTACTATACTAAATGATGCGCGTGTGTGTGTGTGTGTTTACGTCCAGAAGTAAGGGCTCATGCACACAGATGGCTGAACCCATACAATATAAAATGCTGAGATATTTCCCCAAGAGGTGCTGCGTACAGCCTCCCAGAAATGTCACTGGCTGTATGGAGGTTTACATCGTACCTGTGTAGGGACATGCATGTGTATGGGCGCACACACCCAAAACGTAGGCTGTCTGCATTCTGGACTGCATATCCATGTGTGTTGACACAAGTCCAGCATATACCCACATATAGCCATTTACTTCTTTGGGAGGCAGTGTGCAGCATCTGTGGAACCCTTAAATGTTGTGCAACCACAAGTTGCACAACATAAGTGTGCATAAGCCCTAAAAGTTGAACTTGGCCCCGTCCTTTCCTAGTTATCCAAATTTGTCACCGTGGCCTCCCTTCACATTAAGGCCCCATTCACACCAAAGCGATAGCATTTAATGCAGATTCCACACTTTTTTTTTTGCACGTTTTTATGAGCAGATTTGTCACAGTGAAGTTAAAACAGCAAAAATCGCAACAATTGCAACGTGTGTTTTCACGCGTTTCCCTATTGAGTCTAAGAGGACAAGTGGCGCGGATCTGACCAAAAAAAGCTCATTTACTTTTTTCAGCTACAGGCGTTTTTCTAGCGCGACACTACTCTCAGGTGGGAGCAGGGGCTATAAAAATTAATGGGATTTCTTGCTTGGAGCTTTTCCGTGCGGAGAAATATGCATGACAAAAGCCTTGGTGTAAACGGGGGCCTTAAGGACCATTAGTAAGATAAAGCTCAACTTTTACAAAACACTTACACTTCTCAATACCAAAAATCTACCCTCTCTTCAATACCAAAGTTTGCCGAAACATTTTTAGTTTCTGATACCTGTACAAGTGTCATTCGAATGGTTCCTCAATCTGCTTCCTTCCCCTGACCTCTATATCGCTACAGAGCACAGTACTTGGGTAGCAGCTGATGGAAAGAAAATTTTTGTCTATAGAAAGCCAACTACCAGAAAATGGTCATTTTTCAGTTGCTCCCATTGAAATCTAAAACATGTGATCATGCCCCCAAAAAAACACTCCTGTACTTTTTATGATGATTGAAGGACAGCACATTGATCAGCTGTGAACAGGCATAATAACATAGAAATCTGATGGTTGAGCATTGAAGTGCTTTTCGCAATGCCCTTCAAACTGCTAAGGTGAGAATGGGGGCTGAATGCTTTTCTTTGCATGGAGCATTGTTTAATGCTTTCTAATAAAACAAACTAAACAGTCACATTACTTCTCTTTAAGCAATGAGAGTAAAGTCAAACCTTTTTCTGGCTTTACTTCTCTTTTGGGTCAAAGAACATTGACCAATATACTCCTGTGACCCAGCATATAGTGGGCTACGGCCTGCTATTTGCTGACAGCACAGAGCCGCACTGCACCCAGAAAAGATCCTAACAGTATTGTCAGGATCAACCTCACTGCCTGACTGACAGCTGACTCTGCCTCTCTAGAGTCAGAGCCAGCTGTGCCTGCCCGATCCAATGAGCGCTGGAGGGACAGAGAGGGAAATTGCTGCAGGGAGCGGTGACTGACAGTCACTATACGGTACTGCAGAGAGTAGCTGTGAGCTGAGCAATCAGCAGTTCGTGATCACTCAGCTCTTGATCTATAGAGCCGGTTGCAGTGTCACACGCCATTTCTAAATATTGGGAAGAGGACATTTCACACTTGAACATACTCCCTTTACTCCCCTTAAACATACCAATGGTGAAAAAAAAATTTAGATTTTGCTCACAAAGGATACTAACAAAGTCATCAAATCCCAGAAGCGTGCCAACGATTTCTTTATCACTCTTCATTACGATGTGAATACGGGATCCTATACATTTATCCACGAGTTCTAGAAAAACAAAGCATGGACAAGGGCAGAAGTCAAGTTCACTTTTTATACCACGGTTCATATTGCATGGGGGGTGTAACATGGTGCCATCCTGCAGCCTAGGGTTGCCACCTTTTCTTCAAGCTAAACCCGAACACTCTAGCGACACACGGACATATTTTTGGGGGAGAATGAGTCATGGCTTATTCATATGTAATGAGCACCACCCATTAATATGTAAATATCACAGTTGAGACTATTTTCAGTGGGGGGGGGGGCAGTAGCCCCTATGTTAATTTTGGTTGCCCCTGTCTGCCTGACATCTTGTGTCCGGGTTCCTGGTGCCATGAAACCCGGACACAGCATTCAAAACCCGAACTGTCCGGGTGAATCCTGGACAGGTGGCAACCCTACTGCAGCCTCCCCCTTACTTGAATTGCAGGATTCTTCTCCTGGCAACAGTGTTCTATATATTTTTAAATTAAGCATGGCTGTGCCCACACAACTGCATCATCAATTCACAAATCCATTCACAGCATGTGTTTGGAGGGCTACAAGTCCCATCTGCAACCCCAGCAGAGAGACTCCTAGTCCTCAATGGAACACATATATGGGGACATCAGCGCACTGATTGATTACACAACCCATCGATTACTTCCAGCTCCATACCGCTGTACAGACCTGGACTTGAAAAACAGTCTGCAATGTACCCATGTGTCACTGATTGCAGTTGCAGTTCGTTAAAGGCACCAATTCAAATGCATAAATGCACGTTTTCTTTTTGGCAACGTGGATGCATTTATTATTTGTTCTCTACAAACAAATTGGAATAGGACTTTAAAGGAAATAAAAACAGACGGCACAGTCTAACGCGCATGCTGGGGTTTGTAGTTCTACACCAGGGAACATTACCAAGAGGCAATAGCTGAGAAGGATTGGTGGTTACATTGGCCGCCATGTTCAGCCACACTTCCCTCCACAGGACCGATCCCGGAACAAAACGCTTCCTAGTCGCTTTTGTAATTATCCGCCTCCGGGAACCAAATGTAATCGAGCACCGATACACACATGTGCGCAGCCTCACACTGCCAGACTATACCAATCGACAAACAGAATTGTAAGGGCTTCTTTCTACATGACCTCGATGATAGGAGGCGTGAATAGCCCTGGTCACATGACGACTGAACACGGACGTTTAGGGGTGGGATTGTATTGGTCACGTGAGATCGATAGCCTGTAAAGGAGCAGATAGAGCGGCTTACCGTTTATGGATCATCAAATGATTAAACGAGGAATTACAGCGCTGAAACAATCTCTGGTGAGTGGTGACTGACAACCGATGCACATGGTCACCAGAGATTTTGATTTCTATGATGCTCGGTGTGACGTATGAGGAGTCGATGGACGTGTGATCCAATACTGACATTATTACAGGACTGGGTTAAATAAAACTGATGTGTTTAAATGTTTTACATGTTCATAGAATATCATATGTAACATCGAATGCAACATAAAGAATGTATCAAAACTGGGGCAGACACAATCTGGAGCAGTTGCCCAGGGCAACCAATCAGCTTCCTTCAGTTTGCTAAGATTTGAAAATTAAAGCCAGAAGCTGACTGGTCGCTGTGCACAACTGTTGCTCTTGATTGCACTGGATTGTCTGCTCCAGTTTTGATACATTCCCCTCAAAGTCTTTTATGTGAGATTGGGAAATGCTGACAAAAGGCAAGTATACAAAACCTGGTATTGTTACAGTGTCTGCCACACTTCAGAATTCTGTGATGCATTCAAACAAATGTCAGTGCTTGCACCAGATTCATGTACTTGTTGCAAACAGGTACATGAACTTGGTGCAACCACGGCCATTTGCGGTGCGGAGGGGCAGTGAGGCCGGAGTGTACAAACCAGACACTTCATTGTCAGTGCAGCTCAGTAATGCTAAACCTGATAAAATCACAAGTTCACCATTACTGACCTCCCTGCTTGGCCACTGTGCTTGCCTTACAAGCTTTGCTGCAGATTGTCAGTGGGCGGGTACCAAAGCCAGCCTGCTATTGGCTATAACAGCCACCCACTGCCTGCTGTAAATTCAGCAGAATTGATGGGGAACTCAGTTCTCTAAATTCCCCATCAGGCCCTGCCCACTGTCAGCGTCAATGATGGTGGCTTTCACTAGTTGTTAACCCCTTTACGACGCATGATGGGATAATCCCGTCATGAATCCTTAAGGGGTTAAACAGACTCTAGACTATGTTCATACTTGTAGAGGTGGCGGACGGCTTTAAAGTAGAAGCGATTCATTAGACTATCGCCAGATCGCTTCTACGATGCGGTAAAGTGGCTGCCCGCCCTCTCCCTGTCGTGTTTCCCGGGCTCCGCTGCCCCTCCTACGGGCCCGGGACCAGCATCTCGGGTGTTGGCAGGAAGCTGGGGAACATCCGTTCACCGCTCTTCTCCCCGTTCTATGGGACCAGGAACGACCGGTATTGCATCACTTCTGGTCCCTGAGCTGTCATTGCTGGGCTCCTGAAGCCCAGCTATTAGAAGTGCAATCTGCACTTCAATAGCTTATTTAGAGTGTAAAGGTGACACTAGGGATTTTTTTGGACCCCCAGTATCACCTTAAAGAGTACCTGTCACCACCAATATGCTATCACATAGGAGACTTGTAATTCCTCCTATGTGATAGCAATTAAAGTAAAGTTTAAAAAAATAAATGAAATGTAAAAATAATGTAAAACATTTTTTATAATCCCCTGCCCCCGCGAGCATGCGCATGGTCACGTAAACACACTTCCGGTGCGCCTACGTACGAAAACGACGATTGCGCTACACATGAGAGAATGAGATGGTGTCTCAGAATGAGAGCAATCATTCTAGGGCCAATATTTAGGCAGATCTCTGAACTGATGACCTGTAGGGGCTTTTAAAGTGTTGTGTATGGACTTTTTGGAGTACTGAATTCTGTTGCAGTTTGACGGATTCACACAATTTTTAACCTGGGCATGTTGGGTATCTATTTACTGATTGTAACCTCATCTTTTATACTTTACAAACAAAATGGTTTTATATTGTGTTTTGGGGGAACTAAATTTAACTTAAGTGCATTTTTCACAAAATGTTTGGGTTTGATAATAAGTTGCGCTAATGTCGTGCAACATAACAATTTGTAACTGCCACCATTTTATTCTACAGGGTCTTGGCTTTCAGAAAATATATAATGTTTGGGGGTTTTAAGTAATTTTCAGGCCTAAAATGTGGATAATAACATGTAAACAAAAAAATTAAAAAAGGCCTGGGTCATTAACCCTTTCATGACTGAGGCCTTTTTCTTTTTTTTTTCTTTTTTTGCACCCATGTTATATTCCACATTTTAGGCCTGAAAATTACTTTGAAACCCCCAAACATATATTTTCTGAAAGCCAAGACCCTATAGAATAAAATGTACTTAAATGCTCCAAAACTCCCCGCTCCGATCCTCCAGCGCTGACTGGTGGAACGGGAGGGGGCGGGTACAGCTGGCTCTGCCTCTAGATAGGCAGAGCCAGCTGTCACTCTCGCAGCTGGGCGGATCCAGACATAATTGTCGGGATCCGTTTCAGCTGCGGCGTCTCAGTATACTGTATACCCGAAAAGTATACTGGGCTTAGGGTGACGGGAGGACACTAGTTTGTGTCCTCCTGTTACCCTAAGGAGAACTATGGGGAAAAGCCCTAACCTCATAGTTCTCCTTTTACCTGAACTTGAAGACCAGGTGTTTACACCCCCTTCCTGGCCATGCCATTTTTCAGTATTCAGCGCTGCGGTACTTTGACTGACGTTTATTCCGTCATGCAACGCTGTACTGAAATGAATTTTATACCATTTTTTGGGGACACATAGAGCTTTCTTTTGATGGTATTTAATCACCACTACGGGTTTTATTTTTTACTATAATTAGGAAAAATTACTGAAAATCGCTGTAACATCCAAGCGGCGGATCGCTTGTATGTTAACAGGCATCGCTGCCTGTTTTTAAATATCGGCCATTTCCCGCTCGCGCGCGCTGCTGGGGGCGTGTCTGAGCGGACGTCTAAAGGCACCCGCTCAGATATAGAGAGCTCCCGGCCAGCCGTTTTTTTACTACGGCCGGCCCGGAGGTAGTTAAGGAAGCTGTAGCCGACAATGTCCTTAATAACCAGTGACACTGACCGGGGGGGGGCTGATGGGGATTTCAGAGAACTGAGTTCCCTATCAGGTCCTCTCTGCTGCTGATTGACAACTGGCAGTGGGCCGGTGCCTTAGCCAATAGCAGACTGGCTATGGCACCTGCCTGCAGTCAATCAACAGCTGAGTAGATTTGATAGGCAATTCAGTTTTCAAGATTCCACATTAGGCCCCACCCACTCAATGTAAGACCGAAACGTTATTTGCATTCAGCTGCCGGCTGGGGAATCTCCCGGTCGACACCTGAATGTATAATTGGCTGCTAGGACACCGGGCCACCAGAGTTCATGACAGCTTCCCAGTACATACATGTCTCACTCTCACACGCCAGATTAGAGTTGGTCTTAATTGTCACCAGTTTTATAATCTGTAAACTGTCAGTTATCCTTTTTCAATCTGTCCCAGCCACAGCGACAGATTCTTAAAGTGGTGGTATTAGGAATTACTTGAATCTGATGCAAGTGGTGGTACATAGATATGTGCGATTCGTTTCGTTCCGAATCGAAATTCGGACAAAATTTCTGAGATTCGGATGTATCCGAATTACAGGTATAAGGAATGCAAACAAATCCGAATTTCCGATTCGTTTTTTTTGGACGAACTTTCGTTGCAGCAAAGTGACGTTTGAGAACAAAAACACTTTTTTTCCCTCCTTGTTCCCTCCAAATGTCACTTTGCTGCAACGAAATGAACTAGAAACGAAAGTTCGTACGGATTTCTGCTAACGAATTTCGTCCGAATCCGAATTCTGAAACGAATTGACTTTCGGACCCGAATTCCGAAAAACAAAATAAAGCAAAATCCGAAGCAAAACGAAACAATTGTTTTGCTGGTGCACATGCCTAGTGGTAAAGCTACCAAAACTGGCTACAGAGATTTTTTACATTGACACAGGACCATTTAAAGGTCCATACCACCAGAAAAGTGTGTTTATTGCATTCCCCCCAATCTGTGTGCATTGAGGGCCAGTCATGTGCCCCTAGACATAGGTAATCACTGGATGTGATACATGCAGACAGCTGCGGCTCCTGTCAAGACTGTCATTGCTTTGTACAGGCTGAGTGGCTGCAGCTCTCCAGAACCACCTGTGATCCCAACTGCAAGAATACACTAAGGGTACCCATACACTGTGCAATTTCAGCCAGTTCTCGGGGTGCAATTTCAAGTGAATGGCAATTCACCTAGTGCACAGTAACACATGCTTGGTGCGTTGTGCGATAGTTTGCATTAAGACCTGTTCACACTAGCCCATCCCCTAAAATGCTGTGTTTTAACGGACAGGCTAGTGTGTTGTAGCAGCTCTGGCAGTGTGTGTTATATTGGAGCCGGAGATCTCACAGCTTATTTTCTTTTGTATCTTTATGTGGTGTGTACACTCCAATCAGCTCCCTGCAGAGTAGTGCGTTGCGCTGCCTGCAGCGGTCAGCAGTGGCATCCAACGCACTACAATAAAATACATGTTTGCATTTTACACCCGCATTGTGGTGAGAATGTGACGCATAGAAAACAACTGTTGCTGTGCACTGTTACAATGCATTGCCATTCATTTGAAATTGCACCCCGATGCACCTCCTGGCTGCTGTATGCTTGCAACATGCAGTACTGTAATGTAGGGCTGCAACAACTAATCGACATAATCGATTATAATCGATTATTGAAAAAGTTGTCAACTTTTTCAATAATCGAATAATCGGCTTCCTGATCAGTTGGCCCTGTTCACAGCTCCACACGCTGTGCACCCCACCTCCTCCCCACCTCACGTTCGCCGCTGCCAGACCCGCTCGCATCCACGCTCCACACGTCGCACCTCCTCCCCGCCTCACATTTCCTGCCCATCCACATCCACGATCGGCA